ACTCTTGTTAAAAGGAGGATGTTATAAGAAATGCTTCCATTCTACCTCTCTTAAAACCATATTTACACCCATGTTCCCTCTTACAGGATAATTCATTTGAATTTGAAAAACGTAGAAATGAACCTGTCAAATACCAGCGAGAGCTATGGAGTAAAACTAGTAAGTCACGAGGGAATACCAGGAATTTTCAGGAGAGACTGGCTTGGGATATTACTGTAACTTTATATGTCAGTTCGTTGTTTAAATATTAAATTTCTCACTTTCATTGCTCAGCTTTATTCTTTGATCATCATTTTAATGGTTCTGTTGTGTTTGTGTCTTCCATTATAAGCTATCCCTAATCCTTTTCGGAATTGGCTGATGTATCCATTATAAAAATAATGTATTTATTAATTTAATATGCTGCTTGAAGTACCCACCCAGAGATATAAAAGCATACCAAAACCTAAAAAAAAATAGAGATTGAACATACTTTTGGGGGTGAGTGAGGCACAGTTAAAATATACTTAAAACCTAAATATACTTTACAAGTTTAGATCATTTAGTTTAGGGATATAAACTAGTCTGTATACTTTATAAAATTTAGTGCTTTTTTAAAATTATAAAGTGTAGCACTTACGGTGATCACTACAAATTTTTAAAGAGAACTTCTAAGTGCTTGACTTAGGTAAAAGTGAATTTATAGGTGACTGAAATTAAAAGTGATAAATATCTAGTTCTTGTCCTTTTTTTTTTCTTTCTGAAATAGGCAGAGACTTTAATGAAAAAAGTCCCACCCATATGTAATAAAACTTAGTCTAGCTTATAGATTCCAGTGTGTTCATGTGTGGTTGAGGTCCTTGACTGTGCTGTTTTTCCCTTCCTTGGCTGCCTTTATGCAACCTTTAGCCATTTCTAGTATTGGGTGTGCCAATGATGTGCTTTGTTAACTAGAAGTCCCTAAGGCTTAGAATTCCACACATGTTATAGGCAGGGCATCCTTTTCAACATCTTTTCCTCAGTTAGTCATAGGACTTCAGGAGTGGAAAAGTTGTGGACATCTTCCTGGACTGTGTGGAGAAATCAGAGTCCAGATTTGGAACTGCTTTTTCTACATAGCCCACATATTCTGCCTCTTTGTTTGTTTTCTCTCTTCTTTTTCTTTTTTTAAAAAATAAGATCTGTTTTGTAAGTAGAGGAAGAGGTAATTTCTGAAGAGCAGTTGATGTTATTGGGATTATAAGTTCTTTTATTTGGTGGGTATTCAGCTTGATACTGAAATTGAGGTGCATATGCCATTTTAGTCATATGTGCATATTCAGTTACTGTGACCCTCCATGCTGGTTTCATGTTATTTACGTTGCATGTGAGAAATACTGCTGTGTTCTGTAAGATTTCATATACTTTAATGGTAATGTTCTCTGCAGTTCTTAATTTCAGTTCAGTACACATTTATTAAGCACTGCCTGTGGCATACAAAGATGAACAGGTCATGCACAATCCCTGCGCTCTAGGTGCATTTTACTGAGTACTCCCATTTTATTCGTTTCTTTTAGATAGTAATTGGTTCAGCTATTATCACAGAGTCTCTTACCTTTGCCCCACTCATTTATACA